GGGACCGTTCGTTTTTTTCTCGAATTGAATCACGCTCCCAATTATTAAAGTTCAAACCTTTTCTTTTTTTTTTATCCTCGCGATACAGTTTATCGAGCGAACTCACTCACGCTCGATATAACAAGAATTATAATATCGTGATATCGATCCTGTTAATCCATACCTTCCATAAATTCCATTCCATACGGGATAAATATTTCATACATCGCAACAACACCTTGTAATATATAATAATTTTAACATTCGCTTGGACAAACTATTCGTTCGATTTATCCAGATCCATCTCGAGGTTACCTCCTCCTAAAAATACGATATTTTTTTTTTTTACTTTCGAGGGATTCTCGCTCGATCTTCCTTCCCTCTACCGTTCGATCATCATTTCCCGATATCTGGTTTTTAATATTCTCCCCAGAGGTTGCGCGGAAGCCGCATTGCCGATCCGTGCAATTCGGGTAGAGAGAGAGAGAGAGAGAAAGAAAAAAAAGGACGGCCACCGTGGGCCAACTCTGTTATAACAGAGGATCCGTCGTCCTGAAGCGGAGGACGAGAGAGGGTCCCTTACGATTTCATAACCGTTGCTCTCGCGTTGGCGATTTGCATTTTCCACCGCGAACTGCCGCAACGAGGTCCAACGCCGCAGAGTTGGAGAGTCGAACGAGAAAGAGGGAAGGAGAACGTTTCTACGAAAAAGAGAGAGAGAGAGAGAAGGAAAACGCGAGCATAGCAGCAGCAGGATGCAGCGACGTTGGCCGCCATGCATCGAGGGTTGAAACGGCTTATCCGCGCGGAAACCGCGGCGTGGTAGCGCCTCCATGGGGCACACGATGGCCGGGTATGATGTTTGAGCGCATTTGAATATCAGGAAATGAAGCCTCTTGTCCCAGGGGCGTCTCAGCTGCTGCTGCGTGCGAGACCGGCTAGGAAGAGAAGAACGTCGGATAAAGGATATCGAATCGAAAGGAGGGGAAGAAGGGTGGAGAAAGACAAAGGGGATGAGAGGAGAGGGAATAGGGACGAGAGAGAAGAGCAATAAGGGACAGAGGGGGTGGTGAAACCTGGCGCGCGATTTGAATAATACTTTGCATTTAAATGCAAGCACCGATAAAAGAAACGGCCCTCTGCCACTCGAGATATCTTATTACGAGCTATAATCTTTTCGCTGGCCAACGCGACAGTAGTCGTCGTTTTACTTTCGAAAATCTCGTGCAACCCGCCCTCTCTCTCTCTCT